GCATTGACGGAAGTAATGAATTCGTCTATAGACGATTCAGTTTAAGCTGACTCGGACCACCTCCAATGCATGTCAAATGGGCTGCCTGCCTCGCAGGCGCTATTGATCGTCCCGTGCTAGATGGGTTGCCCACCGACCGGGCGGTTGGTGGTCTCCGTTAGTGCTGTGTGTTAATTGGGTGTTTACGCATTTACGAACAGCAATGTGCTGTAGCAGTAGATCTTTGCTTGAATTTAAACGCTAGTCTTTATTTTTTATAATTATATGGCAGGCATCATGATTAAATTAGGATTCATAAATAGTCAACCATACTTTCTTTGCAAAGATAAATTTAATAAAAATAATAAAATAAGCTATTATTTCAAAGTAAGAACAAACAAGTTAACAGAAAGAAATGAACTGCTCTGAAGACACAGAACACAATCACAAACCCATTTAAACAATCAAAACAGACCTTTTATACGATTGCATTTTCAAGAGGGAGCTATCTGTATAATGTAAAATTAGGCTCAAAAATATTGGTAGTATTGCTGTCAGAGCCAAATAAGTTCCGGTCCCCAACGGAGGAGTTGATCCCAAGGGGTAAAACCAAAATCCACGTCGTGCAGCGTCTCGATTATGGTGGCTTAGAAAAGCAGCTAGAATGATCCACCCTAAAGTCTCAAGCTTCACGCAATTACAATACTTTGCTGGAATAAAAATGACTAAAAATGCAACAAGCGGCAATGTTGTGCAATGGAGGAAAGGCCTTCTTATAAGTTTCGTTGCATCCTGAAAGAAGAGACAAAACAAAGTTAGGCACATAAAATAGTGTAAAAAAATGAAAGCATATTATGGGAGAACAAACAAAACCCCTGAAAATCTCTTATTTTGTCACCTTGAGATGAAAGGACCTTGCAGAAATAAAATGGTCAACATCAATAGCTGATGATATCAGGGCACAGAGTAAGCTCTGCACTAAGATTCTGGCCTTGATTGGTGGCATTCCCCCCAAATGGGATATCATGGTAATCCAAGTAAGGAACCCAACAGCAGCGTGGGTTGCATTGTCACTGAATGCTCTTCCCACATCATGGTGTTGCTGGAGATGGACAAAATAATCTCCTGTGACAGCTGTCAACACCAACAGAGCACACTGGAGAACATTGTAAACATCCATAGATATGTTTGAGGGCAACCTCAAACCATCCTAATTAATTTTCAATTTTCAAAGACTCAGATACATTCACATCATAACAAATAATCATAGCAGAAGTACGTGTCTTCATTTAACAAGGTACGAAAACATAACCTGCACGCCTCCATCACTATGGCCAACAGACGATCGAGGGACATGCCAGTTGAAATGAGTAATGTCAAAGAACATACAGTTAAACCCTTCTAATTTTTAGTGCATCGACTCTGGACGAATAATATCATTTCATAGTGTCATGGGGTCGAGTATGACACACAGCCAGTAAATGAATACTTGTTAATGTAAATGCCGCAGTTGTTTCTTCTTCTCTCTCTCTCCCTCTCTTGTCAAAGTTGTGTTGTTTTTGTCAGTGTCAGGTTAAGGTTCAGTTAAAGACTCAAGGCCTGCAAAGGCTTTCTGCCTGTTGCGCATGGTACACACTAATCCTCACAATCTGTCTAATCCCAGCAGTTTGGTCAAATACCTCTAGTCTTTTTGGGCTTGCCACATCTGTGTGACCAAGAAACTACATTCACATGCAGAGAGGGAACTTGTCATCATAGATCATGGACTTTTTCATGTTAATCGGATTTGTATACATTCTCTACCTTTTTGTGTATCTTGTTATCCTTACAATTGCTGACTGCGACCTTCAACTAGCATGGATGGAAAGATTTGGCCATTCAATTGGTAAGATGCAAGTGAATTTTTAATCAACAGAGATCAGCTTTGCAAAATTTTTGTAGTGCATATTTTCATTGATTTCAGTTCTTGTTAGTTTGTTTCAACATAAAAGTGACATACAGTATTTCATTTTTTGATATTTCTCATTTTAGATCGGTTGAAAGGTAAAGTAGTATGGATAACAGGTGCATCTAGTGGTATTGGTAGAGCACTTGCTATTAAACTTGCTGAACATGGGTGCAAGCTTGTGCTTTCAGCACGAAATCGAGATGAACTCCTTCGTGTGAGAGAAATCTGCCTTGGTGTGTAGTAGTCAACTATAAGATTACTTTTATGTGGCCACGTTGTATCTTAAAAATGTCACATGACACAAATTTTCCTCATTCATTTTTTGTTTTTTAGAGGCAGGAAAAAATTCAGGTCTTGATGCTAGTGATGTACTGGTACTTAAAATGGATATGCTGGAATATTCCAAACATCAAGCATGTTTAGACAAAGTTCTCGATCATTTTGGAAAAGTAAGTATTTTAAATCATTACATACAGTATCAATTCTGTGTTGTTTCATTAACTGAAATACTTTTGTCCTAGACTTGTTTTTATGACATAATATAACATTGTTTCCTCTCTCTATTAGTTAGATATTCTCATGAACAATGCTGGAAGATCACAGAGGGCAGCATGGGAGACAATTGAAACAGCAGTTGATCGACAAGTATTTGAAATAAATGTATTTTCAGTAATCGCTCTAAGTCGTATTGCTTTGAAGCATTTTCTTGAGCAAGGCTCAGGACACCTCGCTGTCACTTCAAGTATTGCTGGCGTTGTGGGAGTTCCATTTTCTGGATCCTACACTGGGAGTAAATTTGCCATTCATGTATGCTTCATTTCATCTTTTGATTTATTACTATAAAATTCCATTATTTTTCTAATCCTTTTTATTACAGGGCTTTTTTGAAAGTCTGAGAACAGAAAGAATGGCAAATCCTGAGCTGAAAGTTAGCCTCCTGTGCCCAGGACCTGTATTCACTAATTTTCTCTCCCAAAGTTTTACTAGTAAGGATGGAGAGGTAGGTACATAATTAACTTGCATCCAATATCCATTGGTTGAATGAAAAATACAGATAACTTTACCTGTTTTATATTTTTTTTAGCTTTATGGCCAAGATACTTCACCCACAGACAATCGAATGACTGCAGAGAGGTGTGCTCATTTGTTTGGTGTTGCTTTAGCCAATAACTTAGATGAAGCATGGATGGCTCCATTCCCCATACTTCCTATTGCATATCTCTTTTCTTATTTTCCCAATATCGCTCGTGGGTAGGTTTACAGTTGTTATTCAGATACTAATACATGTTAGTTGTTGATGTGGTGTTTAAAATTTCTACTGCAATCTTGTTTTTCAGAGTTGCCTTTTTGATGGGTACAAAAAAGTTTCAAAAGCTAAGAGACAGCAAAGAATCTATCGAAAACCAAAATGCTGCAAGTAGTTCAGATAACACAACACAAGAAGCTGAAAAGATGAAATAAGTAGAATTGAGTGACATGTAAAATGTTGCAAAGGTGAATATAATCTCATATTTTTTAACACTTACAAAAATTGAAACAAATTTTGTTCCAAGATAACATTTTGCTGCCATGAATAAACAAGACTGAATTTTGTGTAGACAAAATAAGATCAATGATTGAAGTTTTCATTTGGCAAACAGAAACAAGTTTAATATTGATTATAAAACACATAAGTCTCTACATGAAACAATTACAATAACACAAATGCTTTTTTTGAAATAAAGTTTTCATTTATTTAACTTTAAAGACATTGATTTTAATTTGCTTAATCTTGTTTCTTGATCTTTTGATAATTCTTCCTCTAATAGCTTAAGACGATTTGCTCGCTCTGCTTTTCCTCTTAAGATTGCTTCTTTAAAAAGGGAGCAATACAGTTGAATAGTTGTAAGAGTATCATCATTGCCAGGAACAGGATAGGTAATCTGTAAAACACAGTGTTTCAGTTAGTTATAAAAAACAAGACTGATTTTTCAAAATGACAATTTTGGTTCTCTTTCTTACCATATTAGGATTACAATTAGAATCAACAATGCCAATTGTAGGTATGTTAAGTTTAGCTGCTTCTGCCACAACTGGATGTTCTGATCCAAATTCGCTTACTGTAGATGGCAAAATAACGAGATCAGGAAGGCGACATTCCATCTTCTGGTATTTGCTGATGTCGGTAAGACATCCCATTTTCCATTGTCTAAAATTTTTAATAAAACATTTTTAGATGGAAATAATTTGAGCTGCATAGATATTAATCACATAGCAGTAAGCAGCCCTGTGATGGCCAAATGAAAAAAGAAATAGAACCGTCCAGTGACGGGTACCATACACTTTCAAGCAATGAAAACGACGAAGGGAGATGGAAGGGCATAACATCCATGAAAGGAACTTACAGAAACACCGACTTGAGACTTGGATCTTAAAGTTAACTGATTGGTGGCAGTTCCAGAGATTGGCCATCACTGAGATAGTGGTGATATTTGGGTGGACTATCCTAATATTTACCTTACATGAGCATACTCCCCACAATCCTTCGCTGTCTGCTCAATGAGGTTGGCACAATGGGGCAACCGAGCGACAAAGAGTATTATACCATCTCGTAGAGCAACATGTGCAGCTATGTTTAATGCTTCCTGAAGATGGAAATTTGAAATATCTAGATCGAAAATAACATGGTTTGACCTGATTCCATAAACGAATTGTCTCATTCTTGGATCAAGGGATGTTGCCTTGTGACCGAAATGCACTTTGTGCTGAAACAGTAGCGAAGGTGTGCATAACTTTCTGACTCCAAAAAAATCCTTATGCTCTAAGGTATCATCTGTGGATAGAAATGAGAAAATAATAGTAAAATAAGGTATTAAAAAGGTTTGTAATTACAAAATCAAGTAGAGTTAAATTCTAGCATGATATACTTTGGAGTAAATAAGACTAAACATCTTAAAATGCACTTACCCACTTCAATATCAGGGGTAGATAAATCTTCATCTTCAAAATTAGAGAGTTGCTGATCAGACTGGAGCGCCGTCTCTCCAGCGCCTCTCACAGAGAAAAGAGTTCCTTTCGCCCCATGGAGCCAGCGGGTACCGTTGGTTTGACGAAGGCCTATCACGCGTGCTGATCGGAAATGAGACACCAGCCATGTAAAATCAATCGGTTTAATAAATTTTCAAATGTCAACGAAGCGAGAGTTCAAAAAGTTGAAGCAAGTGAAGACCGACAAAATACATAACCTACAGCTTGAGGTTAAGTACGACTACTTATCCAAGTTACGAAGAGGCACGCAAGAATTCCACTCAATTAAGTCATGATAGCATTTCAAAAGTAAACTGAACTATAGAAACTAATGGTGAACAGAAGGCAAAGTAATGACACAAACTTACCCGCGAATGAAAACAAACTTGATGGTAGGGCCATGGCCATTCTCTCTCTCTCTCCTCTCGCTACTCTCGCTCACTCACACCTCCTTTTAATGCACTGTTACCAACACCAACAGCAAAAGCACAGGACTGAGGGAGGATGAGCACGATTTTACTCAAAAATCGCTGCGAAGTGCACCCCGTTGCATTTAAAAAGTCTCGCGTTCAACACTATTATTACTAATCTACGCAAATCTTAAAGTTATCCGTCGCCGTACCCGTAGAACGCTGACGTCCGATCGCCTGGACAGTAGGCAGCTTATCGTGCGCCATGGGGCGTACCGAGCGCCGAGCCTTAGGCAACCCATCGTGCTTCTGCTGCGCACCTCCGCACCTCCTCACCTTCCCTTTTCTCATGTATGTATCTCATTTGTTTTATTATTGCATTTTCTGCCTGTGTGCGCGCACACAAGACGTACGAAACCTGTTCGCTTACTACTGCCAGAGCAGTCTCTCTTGCTCAGCATGGAGTGAAGACCATGGGGGGACGACACCGAGAGTGTCCTATATAGGCTGGGGAGTTCCGAGGTGAGTGTGAGTACGATCAGCGCTAAAATGTGGGTGGTATTAAAGTGGCTCACTCCGGTAGTAAACAGCCAATTTTGTGTCAAACCCGCCGAAGTAAGACGTAATACTGTAGCCTCGTCCAGGCACACATCGGTGTTTTAGTGGATAGTGTACCGATTTTAACGCCAGTGCAGCGATGCCGGGTAAACGCCTCACACTTTTTGCAATTCTTTCGTGGGTTGTCGAAGGCGACGAAAGGCAAACCTCCTCGCATGATTGTTGCATCCTAGACGGTTTTTGAAAGTAATCAAAAGTTGTGTGAACGAGCCTGGGGAATCGAGGCACGACCGGGCATCGCGTAACCGCCGAAATAAAACAAGAGCGAACATCCGAAACGACCGTAATCGAATGTCAACAGCAGGGTCAAAACTTTCATTTACTTCAAAGTAATGTATGCATCGATCCACAGAGTAGACCTGGTCTAGTGTGAGCATTGACGCGGAGTTTTCGATACATCCGCCGATGCTCGTCCTTATCTCGACACCGAGCTGACCTCGCGTGTTCTCCAGGGCCGAGACACTCTGCCTTCCGGCACCGTCACGGTGTCCGTGACGTCACCCGCAGCATCCAGCAAGCGTCCAGCAAGCGTCCAGCAAGCATCCAGCATGCGTCCAGCCCGCCGGGCACGTGAGAGCGGCGAAGGGCGGACAGCCCAAAGCCATATGCGACTCGGCGTGGCTTACTGCTCCCTTGGTCCAGCATCCAGCCCTTGCAAGCGCTGCTGCTGGCCAGCATGCCGGTGCTGCTAGTGCTGCCGGTTCCGTCGCCAGTCTGCTGCCTCCCTCTGCCCCTGCCGTCGCCGCCTCTGCCGCCTCTGCCTTCGCACAGCTCGACGTCTATATTCTTGGAAGCCTACGAATGCCGCCCGGAGCATGCAAATGACCTTCCAGAACCATATGCACTCTGCACAGGGTGATCTCATACAACACAACACACATACATACATACATACATATACAAACACACACACTCACACACACTCTCACACCAGCAAGAGAGCCGACCATTCGTGCTTCTTTTCCCTTCGTTGTTCGGGGATATGCAGAGGCAAAAGAGTAGAAAAGGCACTCAGCGGCTCGTTTACGAATCGCGTTCGGGTTATTTCGGTAGTATCGCTCTTTTGCAGGCACTTAGCGCGAAAGAATTACTTTCGTTTTTACCGTGCGCTCGCCCCGTGTTAAAGAGGGGAAAAGGCGATTTGCCGATTTGCGTAAAATCTCTTGCTGCACTGAGAAATCTGTGTATATTCACTTTTGGCTGTCGCTGTCGCCTAAATCCGTTACATTACCGGGCCCACCCAGGTCTCGCTTTGGCGGTGGCTCCTTCCAGAGCCCTAGAAGACCACGGGGCTCTACCCCCCCCCCTCTCAGTCCGCCCTCCGTCTTCCCCACTACTCGTCTCCGTGTACCTCCAGCATGCCCTCTCACTCCAAACGAAATGTCAGTGTGGCGTGTCCCGTCAACGGAGAGTAAATCGAAGGACACTGAGAGGAGGCAAACCGAGCTATGTATGTACGTGAAATGTGCCATAGATAGAAACGAACAGTTTTTATCCTCAAGTTCAAGAGAGTCTGAGAATAAGTCGGAGTAAGTCCCATCGCATAAACGGACGATAGGCTTTTTGTGGTGAGCCGAGTGCAAAAAGACCAGACTTTGTTGTTGGAAGCGCATCGCGCGACAATCCGCCTCTTGCCTCCCCCTCACCCC